TATTTGTTTGTATTGTATAGTGTTATGAGTGCTTTGGCAATGTAAAGATTTCTTTCACCATGCCAATAAAGCTATTGAATTCAGGGGCGTCAGTTTGTGTTGAAAAGTGGTGGGGACAAAAGATCAGGTGAAATTTTTTTATAAAAAAATATTGAATAACGGCGCATCAAAAATGAGCATAGCGTAGGCCAGTCAACAACACGAAAATACTCAGCATAAAGGCTCGTACACACCGGGACGAATATCGGCGCGCGTTATTCGTCAGCGTTTTTCAAAGTGTTTTTTTGTGTTCACACCCAATCGATTTTCGCTGACGATGAGCCGAGTGAACATGCAAATTCATTCCCTGACATTAGATGGCGCCCATTTGCTCTGCAATACCACTCCATAACATTCTCTTTTATCAAGATTTTTGTAGTCGCTGTCGCGTTTGTCATATAGATCTTTATGTTCCTACACCAACGAGACCAGCAGCTCTACATTCATCTTGCCTTGCATCTTCCTCGTCTTATTTCTTCCCGGCAGTGTAGATGCTACTTGGCGTTCTCTTCTTCGCCATTACGTATGTGTGCTCGTCAAGACCGTTTTGTGTTTCAGCGCCCCCAAGTTGTGTTTTACTGTAACTTCAGAAGCTCCAGACTCGTGAGCAAAAGCGCCAATCTCATTGGTCGGATAGTTTTTGACGCAGTGCGTCAAACTAAAAAAACCAACCCGTGGTTAACATCATTACGCGTGGTGTTTTTCGCGTCGGTGTGCACACTCACATTGGCGCCCTTTGTTTAGTCACGAGGCGTTAAACGTCGGCGAATATCGCGCGAGAAATTCGTCCCGGTGTGAACAGGCCTTAACAGTCCCTGCAACACCAGCTCAACCGAACAGTGCCAAAGCACCATACTACAGGGCTCGACATAATGCTTGTCCGCTTGTCTGGGACAAGTGGATTTTTTGAAGGGACAAGTAAAAGAGAATTTTACTTGCCCAACCGGACAAGTAGCCTCCACAGGCTGCGTGCTCGTTTGTCCCCGGGGGACACCACACACGAGGAGAAATGGAGCCAAAAAAATCCAACATGTTGGATATCCCCGATTAGAGATCTGAGCGGTCCCGGCGTCCTTCCGAGCAGACGAGAGGAGTCTTAACACACCACACACGGCAGGAATATCTGATCAGATTATTTTACGATAATCGGAGCATCCTTAAGATTGTCGGAAGGGGTAAATCGGGGCTAAAATCGGCCTAATTATCCTGCCGTGTGAACTTTACTGATCGGCGCATGCATGTTTTTGGGTCATTTTAGAATCAATAATAGTTTATTTTGTTTAAGTTACTTTTTTGGACAATGTACATTGTTTCTTTCTGTATCTAAACTGCATTGCATGTTTTATTTTGTTCAAATAAACCTTTAACATTTCTTGGTTCGCTTGATTTTTCAGAACATTTTAACCAAATGCTTTCAAAAAGTGGTGGGGACAAAATCAGCCATTTCAAAAAGTGGTGGGGACATGTCCCCAGCGTCCCCAGAGTAAATGATACCTATGATTGAATTGAAAATTGAATTGAATTGAATTGAGAGAGAGAGAGAGAGAGAGAGAGAGAGAGAGAGAGAGAGAGAGAGAGAGAGAGAGAAGAGAGAGAGAGAGAGAGAGAGAGAGAGAGAGAGAGAGAGAGAGAGAGAGAGAGAGAGAGAGAGAGAGAGAGAGAGAGAGAGAGAGAGAGAGAGAGAGAGAGAGAGAGAGAGAGCCCCCGGCCGCGCTAGTAAAAGGTCGGAAGACCGCGGTTTCACGTGGAGCATTTGGAGATTTTTAGAGATTAGAGACTCTAGGAACAACATCTCAATGAACATCTCAACTATAAAGCCCTGTCTCAGACGCCTGTCTCAAGTACAAGCCGGTGCAGTTCGACGATTTGGGCAAATAAAAGCCCGGGCTATTATTTGAAGTTTTACGGTATTTAAGACCTGGAAAAGAAAGGAGACACTGACCTGTCAAAAGGCTCCCCAGTTTCTCGCTGACGATCGGTAATAGTTGATAAATTAAACTTTTCCCAAAGGGAGTAGGGCCACAACATCACCTCCATTCAAAATGTTTAATACACACTCTTCTTGTTATTGCTTCAGTTTGCTAATGCCGGTAATATTCTCCACAACAGAGCGAAATGCATTCGCGTCTCCATATCCGCGGTCGTTTTCGATTTCCCTGACCTTCTTCTTCTTCTTCCTGTTTAATGGCGATTAACCTGACCTTCTTCTTCTTCTTCTTCTTCTTCTGTTGTTTAAATGGCGGTTGGCAAACCAACTTTAAGGTGCATTGTCCGCCACCTACTGGATTGGAGTATGGAGCACTACTTGATAGAAAACACTTGATGGAGAGAGAAAAAAAAAAAAAATTATATCTTTCTTACCAGTTCTGTGTCATTTAAAAATTTGAAAACTTTTTCGTGTATTGTATAATTTGTTCCTTCTAATAATTCCTTAAGTGTATAATTTCTTACACCCCTATCCTTTAAAGACTGAATTAATTCCAGTCTTTCTCTACTGTATGCTACACAATCTAGTAATATATGTTTTACTGTTTCTGGATATCCACATTTATCACAATTACCACTTTCATGTTTTCCTATTCTATGTAAACTTTGATTCATTGCTGTATGTCAAATACGCAATCTTGTCATAATTACATCCTTTTTCCTGTTATTAACATTTGTCCTTTCCACCCCCACACTACTTTGTATACTATACAAATGTCTTCCTCTTAATTCATTGTCCCATATCCTCTGCCACCTCTTTTTTACTTCAGTCCCAATTAGCCCCTTAATTTCTGCTTTACTCAACTGAACTCTGATGTTGATCTCAGGATCTTTCAACGCCTCCTTTTTTCCCTGACCTAATCTTAAACTCGGCGCTTAGCGTCTACGTCACGGCTCTCAGCCCGCCCTCTGTTCGTCGATTGGCCCGGCTGTTTTCAGGCCGGTGGAAAACTGAAAGATAGGCTGCTATCTCAGACTGACTACAGGAGCGAAATGAAATTAGCGGAAGTAGGAAGTCTGACGTAGTCAGGCTAAATAATATTGGCCAGGACATTTAATTGTCTAGTATTGTGTGATTGTATGATGATCAGAAATTTAACAGAAGTCTGAGAAGAAGAGCTCTGTTTTCAAATCTTTTAATATTATTAAATTCCAATTAAATTAAAAATTATAAAATGATATATTTTAGAATTAAATGTATGTAAAAATAAATGTAAATAATATTATAGTTATTTTAGCATTGAGTAAATATTATATACAACTACAATTATATATATATATATATTTCCCCAAAAAAAATCTGTGAAGTATTACGTTGATGTCATCCGCCGGCCGAACCATCTCGAACAAGCCTGGTGTGTTTGTGTTTGGCGGCGCCTCCGCGCTAGCGTTGCTGGGCAACATTAGATGTATACAGTGACGTAAGATCTGACTCTAGCCTGTGGAAAGGCGAACCGGCAATAGCTCTGAACTAGCGCCTAGTGGAAAAGGGGTATCTGAGACCAAATCCTGTCAGAATATATTTTATTATACTGTAATTTCATCGTAATTTCATAAAAACATACATTTTATTTGAAAAAAAAAAATTTCTGAAGTAATTTATCCACTTATTTGAGTCAGAACCCATCCTCTGAGACCAAATCCTGTCAGAATATATTTTATTATACTGTCATTTCATCATAGCTTCATAAAAACCATAAATTTAATTTGAAAAAATTATTTTCTGAAGTAATTTATCCACTCGTTGTATTATACTGTCATTTCACCGTAACTTCATGAAAATCATGAATTTAATTTTAAATAAGTGGGGAAATTACAGAAAATAAATGTTTCATTTAGAACCCCTTCTCTGAGACCAAATCCTGTCAGAATATATTTTAGATTTTCTGAAGTAATTTATCCACTTATTTCAATCAGAACCCCTCCTCTGAGACCAAATCTTGTTTTGTCACTGTCATATAGGCCTTATCAATTAAATTTTATTGGAAGAATTCGTTTAGTTTGTTGAAAAGTAAAAAGGGACTCACCTGATGTGTAGTTGTTGTTGAGTGGTCAAGTAAGGAGAGGAGGACAGTGGTCTTGTACTTGGCACCAGTCCAATCAGCGAATCAAAATATAATCACCAAGGCACATGATGACAAGACAGATAACCTGACCAATGGCTTTCTCCCTCCCCCTCTTTTCTCTCTCTCTCTCTCTCTCTCTCTCTCTCTCTCTCTCTCTCTCTCTCTCTCTCTCTCTCTCTCTCTCTCTCTCTCTCTCTCTCTCTCTCTCTCTCTTTTTAATGGCAGGCTAACCGATACCATTGACTCGCGCTAACCTAGCACCGGCGAACTATGCAACGATCAATACAAAACTCAAAAATTGTTTTTAGGAGAGCGGAGAGCGGAGAGCGTGATGGCGTACTGACGTAGTGTGTGTGCGCGTTGGGTGCGAAATTCAACATGGCAGCGCGCCGCTGCTAGATAAGACAAACAAACTTTGTATTTTTTATTTTTTTCTCTTTCTTTTCCGCTACAACATCACCCGCGTTAACCCTAACTTAAAACTTGGATTTCAACTCGGAACTGGACCAACTGGAGGATTACATTGACCATCACTTCAACAGACTCTGTAACGTTGCAATGGGCCGATCAAGCAAAGCCAAAAAACCACGCACCTCGGATTCACCCTTATCAACCGATTCACCGCCGTCACCAACATCACCAGCTTCCACGCCGATCAAAACAAACTGCTGTTCCGACGTACTCTTATCAATCAACGAGCGCTTAGCTAACCTGGAGTCTAGACTCTCACTAATCGAAGTACTGCACAAAGAATTTCAAAACCTCCGCCACAGCCTGGAATACAGTCAACAACAAGTCGATTCGCTCACTGAAGAAAACAAATCACTGAAAAGCTCCGTGGACAAACTCACTACAAAACTCTCAACAGTAAACAGTCAACTTACCTCCGTCACCGCTGAGAACAAAGCCATGCAAGAAACCATCCTGGATATACAGTCACGCAGTATGAGAGACAATCTAATCTTCTCCGGCATTCCTGAATCATCCACCGAGGACCCCGAAAAATCTGTTAAGGACTTCCTGATCAACCAGCTCAAACTTTCACCAGAGACTGTAGAGCACATCACTTTCCATCGCGTTCACCGTTTAGGACAGAAACACATCAACTCCACCCGTTCCCGCCCCATCATCGCCAAATTTGAACACTTCAAACAAAAAGTACTGGTACAGCGACAAGGACGACAGCTCAAAGGGACTCATTACGGACTCAACGATCAATATCCACAAGAAATCATCCGCAGACGTAAGCTACTTTTCCCCATCCGTAGGACAATGATCAATCAAGGTAAAAAAGCAATCATCACAGTGGACAAATTATATATTGATGGACAATTATTTAGAGACAAAGACACTACTCCCTGGCTTTACTAATAATTGAAAATAGCAATGTAACATTTCCAATCCGTTTATGCTCAATTTATAGTCAATTCATAATCTTCATATTCTTTCATTAACCCAATTGCACCACACACGCACATTGTATTCTAAATGCACCTAAATAGCCTTGCTCACTGTTTATATGTTCTGTATTTGTTGTTTATAGGTATCCCTGTTTTATTTGTCATTTGTTGTTATAGATTTACACACACACACACACACACACACGCACTCAACCACATTCACATCCACACACACAGACTTATATTCACACAAGGTAACTATGAAATATACATTATAGGTTCATGCAATTGAAATTCATAACTTGGAATATTCGTGGTGTTGGTTCACAAACAAAAAAAAATAAAGTTTTAAATTACCTAAAAAATACACAAGCGGATATATGTCTAATACAGGAAACACACCTCTCTCAATATACACAGAACAGCTTAAAAACTACACATTTTAACCACTGTTTTTCCTCCCACTATAATTCAAAACAAAGAGGAGTATGCATCTTAATAAACAAAAAAATACAGTTTAACCACCATACAACCATTTCAGATCCTGAAGGCCGTTTTATCATTATTAACATTTCAATCAATAATAATCCAATTACAATTGGCAACATTTATGGGCCAAACTCTGATGATTCCTCCTTCTTTGCAAATTTCTTCTCTTCTCTTTCAAACATTTCTAACGGTCCAATAATTATAGGGGGAGACTATAACACTGTAATCAATCCATCACTTGACAGGTCAAAACACACAGGAAAATCTGGGCAATCTTCCAAAACAATAAAACAGTTCATGAGTGATTTTGGTCTTTGCGATGGTTGGAGGCTACAACACCCACTTGCCAGAGAATACACCTTTTATTCTAATGTCCACCAAACCTACTCCCGCATTGATTTCTTTCTAACCAGTAATTCAATCATACCAAATATTTTAGAAACCAAAATACATCCGATCATTATTAGCGACCACTCTGCGGTAACTCTAACATGGAACCTATCTGCAATACAGAAGCACCCCACCAGATGGCGTTTTAATACATCACTCTTGAAAGATCCAGAATTTGACAGCTACTTCAAGAGAGAGTGGACATCCTTCCTTGAAATAAATGACTCTCCAAAGTCATCAGCATCGCTACTCTGGGAAACATGGAAAGTAGTTTTACGGGGGAAAATTATTTCATATTCAGTACATAAAAAAAAAAAGGACAGAGAAAGAGAAACCCAACTGGAAGAAAGAATAAAATAATTAGAAATTTTACATGCAAATAATCAATCAGAAAGCATCTATAAAGAAATTAGAGAGAAAAAAATATTGCTCAATGAAATAATAAACAAAAGAAACCAGTTTCTGATTCACAGGCTCCGTCAAGAAACTTTTCACCATAGCAATAAATCCGGAAAATATTTAGCCAGTCAAATTAAAAGAAATAAAGAAAGAACAGCCATAACCTCCATCAGAAACTCGGCAGGGAAGCTAACCAACTCACCAGTTGAAATAAACAAGATATTTCAAGATTACTATACAAAATTATACTCATCTGATCTTGACCCAAACCAAGAAGACATAACCCAATTCCTCGATAACACCATTCTACCAAAACTCAACATGGAACAAATAAACACACTAGAATCACCAATCACTGAAAAAGAACTTCATTCCGCATTGAAAAGCATGCAAAATAATAAAGCACCAGGTCCGGATGGCTTCCCTGCTGAGTTCTATGAACATTTTTGGTCAACTTTATACCCACTATTTAGCAGAACAATAACAGACATAAAACATAACGCAAAATTCCCTTCCCACATGAATACAGCACTTATATCACTCATCCCTAAACCTAACAAAGACCACACCTTCACATCCAACTATCGTCCTATCTCACTTATGAATGTCGACATAAAAATTATTAGCAAAGCACTAGCCCATAGAATTGAACAAATTATACCGTATATAATCCATCCTGATCAGACCGGCTTCATAAAAGGTAGACATGCATCTAATAATACCCGCAGATTATACAACTTAATGCACTACTCATCAGTACAACAGAAAGATACTCTCATTGCCACATTAGACGCCGAAAAAGCTTTCGATAGGGTCAACTGGAAATTTTTATTCACCACGTTACAAAAATTCGGCTTTGGAGAGTCGTTTATTAACTGGATCAAGATTTTATACACATCACCATCGGCCACAGTAACAACGAACGGACTAACATCACAAAGCTTCACACTGCACAGGGGAACGAGGCAGGGATGTCCACTCTCTCCATCCCTTTTCACCATTTTTATTGAACCTTTAGCAGCAGCTATCCGTCAAAACCCAGCAATCAAAGGTATTGAAACACCACAACAAACACATAACATCTCACTCTATGCAGATGATATCCTACTATATATACAAGAACCCCTAACATCTACTCAAGAAATAATTAAAACAATTCAGTCCTTCTCAAAAATATCCGATTATGCAATAAACTGGAATAAATCTTCCACCCTCCCTTTACATAAAACCAAATGGGATGTGGCTCCCCAGCAATCACCAATACCTATTTGTCAAGATCACATCACTTACTTAGGCATTAAGATTTCCTCCAGACTGTCAGAGTTGGTAACACTCAACTTCACACCATTGCTAAAAAAAATAGGAGACGACTTGCTCAGGTGGCTCAATCTCCCAATCTCCATAATCGGCAGGATAGCAGCAATAAAAATGACGATTTTACCGAAAATTAATTACCTATTCTCAATGATTCCAACCCACCCCACACTCACCTGGTTTAAATCACTAGACTCCATTATAACTCGCTTCTACTGGAAAAATAAAACGCCAAGGATAAAACTCACTACACTTCAAAAAAGTAAGGTTCAAGGAGGACTAGAAGCACCAAATTTCCAATATTACTCAATGGCTAACCAACTGCAATACATATACAAATGGATTCGCCCCACCCAATCTGATATTGTATGGCTAGATATAGAACAATCATTATGCAAAGAATTAAATATAGCTGACATACCATTCCTCACCAAATCAATTAAACAACACACATGTTTTAAGGCAGTAACTATAGCCACCACTCTGACAGCCTGGTGGAAATTTCACCAAATCACTAATTCTACATTAGCTCCATCTAACCTCACCCCACTGTGGAACAACCGTGACTTTATAAGCAATAAAAAAACATTGAATTTTCACACATGGGCGGAAAAGGGTATCACCCACATTAAGCATATTTTCAAATCTAACACATTTAGACCATTTCCGGAACTGGCTCAGGAGTATGGCATCGGGAACAAAGAATTTTTAAAATACCTACAACTCAAATCTTCTGTTCTGACAAAAATAAACATCAGAGACACAAATTTAGAACTTCCACCGGCAATATCAGACTTGGTCAACATTTCCTCTCCAAAGAAACTTCTCTCTAAAATATACAAAATGATCTCAAATCAACTTCAGACCATATACTTACCAACAATAAAATGGGAAAACGATCTATCAATAGCCCCTGATGCCAACTTCTGGACCCAAATCTGTAAAAACATCTATCACATGTCCAAAAATTCGAATCTTCAGTTAATACAATACAAAATACTTCACAGAACGCATTACACGGGCAATAGATTAGCTAAAATGGGATTCACATCAGAAGTTTGCACACATTGCAATCAAAATTCTACAGATACATACATTCATGCATGCAACCTGGCACTGCACTCCAATCAAACACTTTTGGGAAGAGGTCACACAGGCACTATCAACTATAGTTGGCTGCCACATCCCAATGTCGCCTTCCCTTTGCTTGCTGGGGGACCTCACAATAATAACTGATAAAACCATAAACTCTAAAATACTCCTCACAGCTCTAGCCATCGCCAAGAAAACTATCCTCATGAACTGGAAAACCAGAAATAAATTACACATTAACATCTGGAAAAATCTTATAACAGACTTCATGGCAATGGAACTCGCATCTCCCCTTCATAATAACACATCTGAAACTGATCCCTGCCGTCCAACACTTTCTGACCTCTTACAGCTATGAATCCTTTCTCTGTTTTCAACTCTGACTTCTCTCACCTTCTTACTCAACCCACGAATATTCATATTAGTTGTTTAAACTTGTTTCTGTCATCATTGTTATTGCTATCTTTACTGTTACTGTTATGATTACTATTTTCACTTTTTTTTTTTTTTTTTTTTTTTTTTTTATTGTTGTAATTACTGTTGTTGCTGTCTTTTGCTCTCACCGTTGTGATCACCACTGCCATCATCATTGTAATTTATTATTATTATTAATATTATTATTATTATTATCATCATCAATATTGCCATTGTCAATGCTGTTTTAGAATTAGATATCATTGTCATCACTAGTGCAATAACTTCCCCCTTATCTCTTCATGGGTTTTTAATGCACCACAACGTAGAATAAAAAAAATAAATAAAAAAAAAAGGATTAAGGATATATGGAAAAACCTCACAAACACCAAGGCAGGCTAGACAGGCGAGAAGTGGTTTCAACGGGACAGCATCTCTGTCCCAATTTGAGACACTCTCGCACTGTACTCCCTATTTTAATGCACCTTAGACATTGCACATAATACAAAAAAAAAAAAAAAAAATAGGAAAAGATATGGACTGATGAGATGAGGGGGAAGGTTATCTTATATTTTCTTATATTATATTATCTTATTATATCGTATTTTATGCAGGATTGACAATGGCAATTATTACATAGGAGGAAGGATGGAAGTAAAAAATCTACCAACACAATATTGGCAATATGGTGGTAGTGGGAACTGGGATGGTGATGGTAAAGACAATGGTAATACATAATAAACGGTTACTTTGTTTACGCATACACACACATACACATAACCACACT